AGTTTGTTTGTATTTTTGGTTAACAAACATAATAAATGTTCATTGTGGTAAACGAAATAATAATTTCATTTAAGTAAGAGTTTTTTCTGCATAGTTGAATTATGGAAATCCGTTATTAAAACCAAAATAAATTTTATGATGTTTAAATTCGCAGGCCTGTGTAATCTTTTTCAGTTGGCCAAAAGTTTGATCGAGTCCTCGACTATCCATTCTATCTCCCTTAATACTTCCAGTTCAAACAGTGAAACATTTCAGCAAACGATACTGTCTTACTAGTAACTAGAGCATTTTGGGAAGTTGAAGCATATTTAATGCACTCAACTTCTACCTCCAGGGCATTGCTATACCTAATTAAGAAAAGTGTGTTTAGCATACAAATAGGCAGTGAATTTTACTGAAATAAACTTTACTCGTGGCGTGTACAATAAAGCATATTGTTCAAGGCTACAAATTACAATGTTGAATTGTTGTAGGATTGTGACATGTATACAGTGTTAGCATTTGAGGCAAAGTATAACTGCAATGATAAAGCTGTGAACTTTGAAGAGTAGTTATGAGATTTACATATACTCGCAATAGCTGTTTGTTTCTTGTAGATCTGAGTAACTAAAAAATTGGCAGCATGATCAATTTCGTGACATTTTCAACGTTTCTTAATATAAATGGAGAGAAACTAGGAAGTTTCACTACGTTTATTGAGCCAGTTGTGCCACGCACGGTCATAGCTCACAACAGAAACCACAACAGAGTCACAATAAAGCTTAAAATTAGTAGTTTGTTCTACAATAATCTCAGAATGCATCAGTTAAGTTATAGATAAACATTCCCAATAATTAGCATAATCATGTTTACCATGTCTGGTGTACTTTTGTGCAAAATGGCACTAATCAACATAACGTGGTTGGATAACAATGTGAACATGTAATATAAACTTTTTCACAGAGTTTATATTGATACTACTTCTAAAATCGACTACATTAAAATGATTGTTTTATAGATGGATAAAATCTTCTGATAATACTTGCTTACATTTTAATAACTAAGTAGTAAATAATGTAACTTTCATTTTTTCAGCACATTTATAAGTTAACCCTAGAATTATCCACGGATTCTTTAAGCACAATTTCCTAACCATTTATGCACCGAGCTACTTGTAGATCCATGTTTACAGGATCTCTAATAAAATACGATAACATACGGATCACCAAAAACTTCAGGAAAACCACTGTAAATGTTGTAATAAATCTTACAAATTATTGCTATGGCTTCCTATGGAATTTACCGAGAAAATGAGCAACTTTGCCCAACTTGTTTGGTCTCTTTCTTACACTGAATGTTGCAAAAGACAAGAACATTAAATTATCCAACATGAAGCAATATATGGACTTCTCTGATAGCGAACTATATAAAAAGAGTCAGTAATTATAGAGTTAAAAGTCGCAAAATATCAATAGTAAGTTTGACATTTTCAAAATCATAAGAATTACTTGGTTAATGCTGAAACTGTTTCCTATGTTGAATCGATAAAGTATCTATGTTTCAAAGATACACTTATCGTTTGAAATGCCGACATCCTTGAGTTGTCTGAGCTTCACTGGATCATCACATTATCCCAATTTGTGTCTTAGGAGACTTAAATTATTGTCAGTTGAGTTCCTTGCATGGTATTTCGTATGAACGTTGCGGATGTTTATGATACAGTGATTTGTCTTCCACTATACAGAAGACATTGATAATCATAAAGCAATTAAACCCTTTGACGAAGATATTCTTGATAGCTGAAAGTTTTTACTTTAAACATTGGTAAGTGTATCTATGAAGTAAAAACTATTCAAATATTTCTTAGATGTTTTCTCTACATTTTTTTTCCACAACGAAGACTAACTTACGATAGAAATAAATGTTAGAGCTCATTTAGGTACAAATCTCTCCTAAACTTCGAAGGTGTTAATTTTAAATATGTAGGAATTTATCTCCTAATGTATTGGTAAATATAGACCAAACAATTGTCGAAATACTTACAGAGTTCTTCATCAACAGCATTCGACAGTGTAATCAGTGTTAAAATTGAAATAAAGTAAATAATGTTGTGTTATTGATTCCTACTCTACAAATCTGATTTGTGATCGACATAAAAAAATCCATATTAGTTATATTTCACTTGCTTCATGTGGCTTGCACCATAACGGTCGTTGTATATGAAAACTGGTGATCTATATAGCCCCTAGACCGTTATTATTGCTGTCATATCCCAGCTGGCACTGACAAAAGGAATCGTCGACACTAGATATGGCAGATGTAGTTTGGTTCACATACTACAATATATTCTCCTTCGTTTTCGCTCATGAGTTCTTGGAATTACAAATATAGTTTTTGCTCCCGTTGATGCTGTGGTTGACTGACCCGCTCTGGGAACAAGAAAACTAGCTTCTGGTTCCCCAGTTCCTGTGAATGATAGTAAAATTAGGTAAAATAATATATAAATAAAATAAATACTATTAAAATGAGATAAATAATGTTGTTTTATTTATTCTTACATGAAAATCTGACTGAAAATAAAATTTGTAATAATTAGATTGCAATTGTTTAATCAGGCTCACGCTATAACAATATTTGTTCATAAACATTGGTGATTTATATATATTGCTCGTAGACCACAGCAATGTCTGTCGTATCCCAGCCAGCCCGATAAGCCCTGATATTTGTCGAACGGCTTCGTATGTTCTTGATATGCTTTCAATCATGAGTTCTTTGAAACAAGAACACCGATTGATCTGTTATTGAAATTTAAAGAAATTATTGAGAATTTGAACTAGAAAAATACAGGCTATATCATCAAAAAATGTACCTTTATTGATCACCTTATTGTTTTAACCCTAAAACCAGGAGGAGATGATCCACGAATTAATGGCTTTTTGATCATCACAATATTTAGAAAACGATTAAATGTATTAAAACTGCCCCTCGGCGATAACTTGGTATTAAAGAATTCGAATAGTGGAAATCTTGTGTTCATCGTCTCACTTTTTATAGATAGATTCTCATTTCAAAAGTTCGTCCCGTCGCTTGTGTCAAGATTTTTATCACAGTTCATTGGTTTCTGCAAATTAATTTACCTATAAAAGCCCATTTTCTAGTGCTAAATTAGTCATTATACACTGGAAGAATGTCCAAAACTCGTGTTTATCCTAGTCTTAGTTGAAAATGCAATGTTGGAAGGTGTGATGTTTGCATGAAACGTTGCAGATGCAATCACAATGGAATTCCTGTTGAAGTTAGGGATAAGAAAGAGAGGTTGTCCCAAAATAGTTAATATCCAATCAAAATAGGACAAAAATTGAGACACCGAAATAACAGTAGAAAAATACACATTGTTCTTGTTACTGTTTTAAGCATTTACGAACACATGTCTTTCATAACTTCAACCTGGCAAGAACGAACTTCAAGAAACTGATATTGCAAATATAACGCCTAATATAACGACTAGTTTCACGAAAAATCTTCTAAGATCTTTCTTAAATTATTTCCTAAGTCAATATTTAAAATGAAACTTCAGAATTTCGTAAGAAAATTCCTAAGTTGTCTTACAAAGCTATCTGAGGAAAGTTTTGGCTCAGAACGATTTAAGCAGCATCATAACAATATAGGGTGTCAAGAATCAATGGATCTTTTAAATCAAATCAGCTGGTCAGTTATCATAAATAGAATTGATACAAAGTTTCCTAATGTTTTATTAATAACGTTTTTTTTAGTTTTCAAAAATGTAAAGTATCTTTTTTTTTTCAAGCTAAACAAGATTTAGCTAAAGTGAGAAAGTTGTGTTAGACAAATCTCATAGTACGTTTAATAATAATAATAATATATCGTTTTTTGTAATACATTTAACATTTTAATTACAGAACCAATATTCTAGATAGTTATTGAACGATTCAAATATTCATTTACTTAGTAAATTATTATTTTGTATCTTCATAAACATTACTTTTGGGTGTACTATTGGTAATTTTCTACTACTTGACTCAACTCCTAAACAGTAATTGTAAAAAAGTAAAGTATCCAACAGTTTGTTGCAAACTTAACCATTAATAAAGAAGAAACAAACAAATTGAATACTTTGACTAAATTTATCTACCTATAGCTTTATGTAAAAATAAAAGTACGAAAGGAAAAAAAATCACTATGTTTTGTTCGAACCAAAGTACCTTATTGCATAGAAGACACGTATTAAGCAAACTCTTAAAACCTTGTATTGAACATAATCTGTGTTTTAGTTTATTAAAAGAGGCGTCTTTGGTTATGTCACACAGAATAACATAATTTTATTTTAAAGAAAAACTATCAATAGGTTTCTTAATTACTTAGAATAATAAATATATTTTTATTCCAAAGTAAAAGTTTGTACAAATAATTACAAATTAATTTATAATAAATATAGAACATTTGATATAAGAGAAGTATTTCTCATTTTATTATTGTGACATGGTAATTAAAATATGTTTTATTACATTTTGGAGCTTTATATTATCTCAAAAGTTACTAAAAGAACTGGTACTGATATTTCAACAGATATTTTAATCCTTAGTTGAGTAAAGGGAAGAATGAAGATATGAGATTGCCGTTGTTTGCAATTGATGGGAATAAAAGTTTGCTCAATAGCATTTTTAATGCATGGTCTCTTGCTCATAGCACTTCTATAATCTTAAAAGTAATCTTGTAGAATATGACAACAACAGCATAAACACAAAAGGCACTTTACAGAAGTGATCATCTAAATAAATCTTGTCACCACTGTCCTCACAAGAATGAAAACATAGCTGATAAGGAAGAATATAACAAGAAGTGATATTTATGTACAAGCCAGACATTAGCTTGCCCTATAAAAGTCCTAGTTGCTAAAATTCTGGCTGAATGGTGGAAAGATAATCTAATATTTCGCTTACTTTTATGTTAAAAGCGATAAAAAATTGTCCGAGAAGCTAATGTAGTATACAAAGTGGTTTGACATAGTTAGTATACAAGAAAGTCGATATAATTTTTAGCTAGTTATATCCACTATTTTTGTTCTTATACTCAATAGCAGAGAGAATTATTACTGTGTTCAAGATAAGTAAGCTGTAAACCTTCGCTGAATTGTAAAGCTTCAATAAGTACGACAGTTAAATGTTCGTAACTTTACAGAACAGTTTTTAAGGTTTTTAAATAATTTATTGCGAAGTGTCATATCCTAAAATCACATTGTCAAGTACATTTAATTATTTGAAAATCAACAGCGTCAGTGTCGTTTACTATTCTCCAATTTTATGTTATTGCTACTATGTAAATATAACGCTTTCATTTTTTCTAACGCATTTACTTTCCCTAAGTAGAAAAAAAAGTTCACAAAATGAAACTTGAATTGAAATACCACAATCCCTCACCGAAAACAAACTTCGTCTTTTTAGTCTTTCTTAGTTTCATCTGCGAATAAGAATTCCTTAAACTAGTTTTTTAACATCAGTTCTACACCGTTAAGCTACGTCAATTTGCTTGTAGGTTAAATTGTTTCATATATGATCTTCATGATCTTCTCATTCAGACCATTAAGTAGGTCAGTGATTCCTCTTAAACCACCTATAATACTGATTAATGTTTGAAAATAGTTTTGGAAATGCTTTGCCATTTTCTTATACTGATTCATCGTTGTTCGAAAAAAATGCACTTTGAGAACTTCACCAAAGTTTTGACACATATCAGAACGTCGCGCATTTTCCTTTATTCTGTTTTGTGTATGCAGTTTTTTTGGTATTTTAACTCTCTTTCCAAGATTAATACTCGAAACACACGATCATAGTATTCCACTGTAACAATCATACTCAGTAGAGCCAAAGTTAGTTTTGTAAAGCTGATGGATATGTATTAGATACCTAGCACCTCGGCTTATTCTGTTGTTCAGCTGTTATCATTAGTCAACATCTCGAACTAAAGCGAATCTCATCACTCTTCATCGATATATATTTGGCTGTCTAAGACCTGACATGGTTCTCTATTTTCACAATACTGGCATTCAGAAGATTGATAATGAGCAGCTGCAGATGAATAGAAGTAGGGCATTAAAAATGATGATGCCTGTTGCAGTTGTAGTCAGTGGAATAAATGAAATCTAGAACATTTCAGAGACTTTATAGCATATATCATATTATTTCTAGTGTTGTTCAAATTCCGAGTCAAATAAACACGTTTTAATCTCCAGTATTCCTTACATACTTTATACTTTCCAAGGGCTTCTTAAACTTTCTGACGGTCTAAAAAGACACTCGTCTCAGCTTTTTCGTCAATTGGTTTGATTAAAGCTCTATTTTTATAGTTGTATGGTGGGTAGATTTATATTAAACATTCTGAACTGATAAAAGGTTAAATTATAGCTTCAGGTGTTAAACATATAATAAAACTTGTACGCTATTAACTTCTAATGAAGCCTAACTGTCTCGAAAATCCCTTTACATTTTTAGAACAAAGATAAACATGTTAACTTCAGTAGGTTTTATCTGTACTTGAACGGTAATCTACCAGCACCTAGTAAAGCTAAACTGTATTATGGCACCGATGTTGGAAGTGATAACGATCGTCTTAAGTGTGAAGATTGTTATGCAGAGAAAGAGTTTGGTTTATAATACAGAAACTATTCGATACCACAGCAAAAGTTCGGCGCAAGAACCAGTTCCTTAAATACATTAATTAAAGAAAATAATCCTCTGAGTTTCACCTTGATTTTGTTCGGCGAATAAGGTTCACAATTTTTTCACATAACGTATACTTATTCATGATAATAGTACACAATACCTTAATTTTGATATTTCGAATTGACACACACAAGTGAACAAACAATTTTGATTGCCAGTAACGAAACTAATACGTACACCAAGAACAAAAAAAAGCGTAAAGGAAAAACTCTATTAAGTAAGTAGATTTTTTACGAGCATTTTATAATAAATAACACGACCCTAGAAACTCTGAATTTCAAAGTGTCTATAATGTCAAACACATCTCATTTAGATAAAATGAAAAAAGCCTTTACTTACAAGTCTAGACACTTTAATGTATTGACCATCAAAATAGATTACTTACAGGAAACTACGACAGCTGAGAAAATTTTGGCGTGTTTACCAAGGCTTTGTGAAATAATAACGTTACAGGCTTATTTTCCTGTTTTTGAGTCTACAAATAAAATTCAGTATTTTTAATATCAAATTTAGCTTTTTCTTCGTTCATCTGTATAGAACATTGGGCTATTCCAAATCAGAAATACCCAATGCGGTGATGGAAAACTGTTTGTCGTAAATTGGATTGCTGTTTATAACTGCTATGATCCATTTTTATTTCGTCGTATGTTTCAAAATCCTGACACTCTAGTTTTTATTTTCTGTGTTCTTCATTTTAACTTTACCTTTTTGACAAATAAAGCTCAG